GTGATGGTCAAGACTATAACAGGATAGGTCCATCAAAGGCATATTAGCCAGGATGGGCAGAGATAGTGTCCCTAGCCTCTGTTTGCCAGAAGCTGGGAATGGGCGACAGGATGGATCACTTGATGATTACCTGTTCTGTTCATTCCCTCCAAAGCATCTTGCATAGGCCACTGTCGGAAGACAGGATACTGGGCTAGACCAGAGGCGGGCAAACTATGGCTCGCGGGCCACATCTGGGCCACAGGACTGTCCTGCCCCGCCCCTGAGCTCCTGGCCCAGGAGGCTAGTCCCCGGCCCCTACCCTGCTGTCCCCACTTCTGTGCAGCCTCCGCATGCCGCGCTGCCAGCACTCTGGCCCGCCACTCTTGCAAGCTCCCGCCGCTCCGAGTGGCATGGTAAGGGGGTGGAGGGGTTGGATAAGCGGCAGAGGGTCCTGGGAGCAGTCGGAACAGGGGGCATTGGATAGGCGTGGAAGTCCCAGAGGGGCTGTCACGGGGTGGAGGTGTGGATAGGGGTCGGGGCAGTTGGGGACGGGGAACAGGGGGTGGTTGGATGGGGTTGAGGTTCTGGGGGGAGTCACGGGACAAGGAACAGGGGGGGTTGGATAGGCATGGGAGTTCCGTGGGGCCTGTCTGGGGGCAAGGGTGTGGCTAGAGGTCGGGGAAGTCAGTGGACAGAGGTCCCGGAAGGTCGGGGACAAGGAGCAGGGTGGGGTTGGATGGGTTGGAGGTTCTGAGGGGGGGCAGTCAGGGGGCAGGAAGTGGGAGGGGGCAGATAGGGGGCAGGGGCCAGGCTGTTTGGGGAGGTACAGCCTTCCCTACCCGGTCTTCCATACAATTTCACACCCCAATGTGGCTCTCAGAACAAAAAGTTTGCCCACCCCGGGCCAGACGGATCTTTGATCTGACCAGTATGGCCATTCTTATGTTTTTACTCCTTCTCCAGGAGGAAACACCGCAAGCTACATCCTCCAAAAATCCTACAGTGAAATACCATCTTCATTCAGCTTCGAGGATGTCAAGGCTAGGTGACATGAGCTGGGGAAACTGACTTGTCTCTGGAACAGATGCTCCAGGTGAAGGGCATTTATCAAGGAGGAGAACTTGGTGATACTCCTGTTCTCAAAGATGAAGAGCAACAAAAGAGGCAGTCGTATCATTTCTGACATGTCTTATTTTTCTCCAAAGTCCTGAGTCAAGAGGAAAGGAGGGGAACACTATCACAGTTCCTTGCCTCAATCTCAAGCAAATGAATATATCCCTCAAAATTGGGATTGCAGCTCTTTCCAGGACTTGTTTAGTATGGTTATCTTGCTGGAAGCACACTCATAAACTGTTCGGAGACCCCACGAAGGTGAAGGCTGCACTCGCTCATCCTTGCTAAAGGTACACTTTTCTGCGGCAGACAGGGATAGAGGCACTGGTAAGGTACAGAGACTGGGGAGGGAGAAGGACAGAACATGGTGCTGTGTTTTCCAAGCTGCCTGATCATATATGTTAGTTCAGTTAGGCTGTGTACTGGAACAGAGCAGTTCCTAAGACTGCAGGTCCAGAAGAACTGCCTAAGGGTATGCCTACACAGCACACTCCTGATGGCAGTGTGTAGAGTACGTAAACTGCATGCCCCCCACAAATGGGTATAAACAACATTCTAGATAATGAGGCACTGTTTAGGCGCATCAAGACATGCCAAAACTCACTCTCTACATGCCGTAACAAGGCCTCCAACATCAATACTGCTATTTTTAGCAGTGTAATGTCCTGATGCCTCCCAACTGCCGGAGTCTTTTCATGCAGTGGAGAGGCAGTGGCAAAAGATTCCAGCAGCAGGGAAAGACTCTGGCAGCAGGGAGACAGTGGGAAAAGGCTCCAGCAGCTCCCCATGGCAGCGAAAGTGGGAAGTTGCCAGAGTGGGAAGTTGCCACAGTGAAAGACTCCATCAGCGCGGAAAGGCTCCCTCAGCTCCCCGCTGCATCCCCCTGGCCAGAGCCTTTCACTGCCATATTTAGCTACCCACTGTAGTGTGAACACAGCTTGTTTTTTGCTGCAGTGTAGATATACCTTAAAGCTGCAACATAACAATACTGAAGGTACACTTTCTAAGAAATGAAAGATGTCCAAGTCTAAGAGGCAAGTAATGTGATGATGCAACCCAGATATGGGTGCTAGAGAAGAAGTGCAGACCCATAATAATTGGAGGGAGAGAAGCACCAAATGTGGTTGCCTTTTTGATAGACTAAGAGAAGGAAAGGACATCTTCCATGGGAAAAAAAATAAAGTACATTTGAAGGAGGATGGCTAAAGGTAGAAGTAAACCCACATGACAAGGTGCAAGCAAACTGCAAAATGACCCAAGAATTGAAAGATCCACCATGATGAAATTAGAAAAAAGGAAACTGGAAATATGAGAAGTCTCTGGATAGAAGATGCCGCTAGCACAAAGAAGAAGAGAAAACTCCTTTCTCTTACAAACAGAACAGAAAAAATACAATCATAATATGGAGTGAGGATGGTGGAGAAAGCGTCTTCATGGGACCTCCATATTCTATTATGTCTTCATCCACCCAACTCTTTTCCTCCCAGAATCTAAAACGCTGGGGAGATTCTGCCAATTTGGTCTTTGCATCTACCTCTCCATTCCTGGTGAGAAGCCACCTGATGCTGGCAAAGAGTGGAAAGTTGCATGGTTCTGGACCTCACAGAGATAACATCTGTAGAGAGAGATGTTGAAAGAAATGGACATTTATGTCGAAAAGCTTCCAAAGTCTATGCGGCGGGCTCTGATAACCAGTGTAGAGTGGGTTGTAGTCAAGTCAACCACTGCAACACCATAAGCCCTATTCGACCTCATTCCGGCCTCTGTTGAATGTGGGACCACGTCTATGAGAACTTGGAACAAGAACATAGAAACAACTTGGCATCTACCCCATAACACTGGATAAGCAGAACCTAGATTCTCCGGCAAAGCCAGGTATTTCCATGCTATGAGGTAGGCACTGAAAATTTACTTTAAGCTGGTTCCCATTCCTCAGAAGCCACATCCTGGATGGTAAAGTACAGCAGGAAGAATGCCTTTTATTTTTTAAAAAGTTTTCAGTCTTGTAGGCTCAGGAAAATGAATGTCCTGTGGAAGTGGTTCCAGCTCTACAAGACATATCAGTATCTTGGAATTGAAGAATGCTGGGGTTGGCCAGGGTGTGTACTGAAATCAAGGCTAGTTATTGGAGGTTAACCCTTCAAGGCATACAAAAGGCACAATACAGAGAATGGGGCTCTAATCTTAGGCCATGTCTACACTAGTGAATTTACAGTGGCACAGATGTGCCAATTCAGCTGCGCTGCTGTAAGATCGTTCATGTAGCTGCTCTACACGAGATCTCTCCTGTCAACATAATAAAACCACCTAAATGAGCAGTGACACAGAGCTGTATACATGAGCACTTATGCTGGCAAAACTTATGTCACCCAGGTGTGTGTTTTTTTCACACACCTGAGCGACATAAGTTTTGTTGATATAAGTGTGAGTGTAGACGTGGGCTTAAAGTTCTGCTCTACCCTAAAGTGACTGTAGGGGGGAAAAAACGGTTTGTGGAGTTCCATATTCATTGAATCTCACTGATTTCGATTTCCTCAGGTTGCAAGTAAAAGATTTGTTTCCTCTCACTTTCCCACCCCACCACCCCACCCGCTACCTCACATAATTCCACAAATTCATCCTGGGTTCTGACAGTCAAGCTGGTTTCTATCCATCTCTCACAACAGCATCACAAATAAAGGTTCTTTAGGCTCAGTTAAGCCCTTAATTAAACCTATGCAATCCTACAGTCTTCAGACTGTGTTATCAGTCACACCTGCGGTTATAAAGATATCCTGAGTGGCCCAGGAGACCGATAAGTAGTAGCAGGGCTTACCTCATCTACTGATGCAGACCGCTGCCCCTCACCCATATGGAGAGACCCTGTGTGGGTAGAGAAAGCAGCTGATCTAAAGAGCATTGGTGGATAGAGTCATGAGTGGAAGCAGCCATAGGAGGGAATGGCCTCCTTATTGCTGCTTTTGTCCTCTCTTTTTTGCTGGGGCCCTAGACAGCAGACACAGGTAGAATGATATCTCCTTTGTTTTCTCTCTTTTTCCTTTACCCTGTATTTCATATCCTTTTCTTGTGCTAGAAGTTGGAGGAAGGGAAAATAGTGTTAGAAGAAATATGGAGTCAGAGGATTGAGGCAGGTGCTGCTCCATGATTCCAGAGGGCAGAAGGCAAAGAACCATGAAGAAATGGGCAGTCTGGAGCTTATGTAATAGCTATGATTGACAGGCATTTATTTGCCTCCCTGCTTCCTTGATAGTGGTCATAACAGTATAGGGACTATACTGCAAGCAAGGGATGTTGCTAGGAAGGATAGAAGAATGGATTTATTTTTTGTGTTTGGGATTTTTATTTGTAAATAAATAAATAAAAAGTCGTACCACTCACAAAAATTATCCTAGATAATAAAGAATCTTACTTGGATTTTGGGTCACAAATTATTTATGTAGAGAAACTATGGCATTTTGGTAGCTATAGCATAACAGTGATGTTGATCCAAACGCACCTGCATCTGTCTTGGTTGCACATGTATCATAGTAATTATGCATGGAAATGAACAAATTAGATATCTTTCTAGTCACTTGCCAGTGTAATTACCACAATTGAATACACAATCACAGTAACTGTGCACACAAATTATGCATGCGTGCAGTTCTGAAAATTTAAATGTTGCCTTCAGCATTTCTATTTTGAAATTATCATATGGAAACTTTCATACACTGAATATTATAAAACATGTTAAATTTTAAAAAGATATGTGTTCAACCTTTCCTCAGTTGAGCATTAAAAAATAAAATAATCCAGTCAGTTTCCTATGTTCTCCAAGCTAATATAACACATTAGCAAAATCTCATCATTGCCATAGGCTTTACAAATTTAAAATGAGTGAAAAAGATATATAAAGAAACATGGCCTTTATTTCTTCTCTCTATATATATTTATTAACCTTCAAATAACTTCATAAAGAATATTAAAAAGGATAAGAATTGCTTTAAAAAAAGAATAAAGCATAAAATCAACACCTTTAAGAACACCTGTCTAAATTTTCATTAGCTTGTTCCAGCTCTAATAAAGATCAGTGGAAGATTTCCAAAGGCAGTTTTTTATCTTACACACAGAGCTACAGCATCTGGTTATACTTCAGACTAGAAATATTGAGAAGACTCAAACCTGTGAAAGACATTTGACATTTTTGCTAATGTACATAAACAAAATGGAAAACATGCATTCATTTTTCAAGGCTAGATTTTGATCCATCCAAATTAACATAAAAAATCATTTTGCTAGGCAAAAAGAATGTATTATAAAGTATCTCAGAGAATAAAACATCTCAGATTATATGACAGAGATGATAAATATTTAAAGACTGTTGTATTCTGGCAGATCACGTCGTAGTCTTATTGCCTTCAGCTTCTCTACTTTGATTTTTGCTTTCAGTAGCTCCTCTTCCAACTGCTGCTTTCTTTTCAAGCCATCCCTCTTTTCTTGGACATAAAGCCCAATTTTTCTTTGATTTTCTAAGATTATCTGATGCTCCTCTTTCAGCATTTGCAACATCTGTGGCTCATACCCACATGCTGGCCTAAAGCGTTCTCCAACCTCGAGCCTAAAAAAATCATCTCTTCTTGGGATGGGAGATGAAGACAACATCATTCTCATATCAACAGAAGACAGTGAAGTTGAAGGAGATCTCTCCATAACATGCACCAATTGGTGTTCTTCTCCTTGTTCTAAGTCCTCACTCTGCTGTGAATCTACAGCCAAGGAAGGAGGAGGTTTGACATCCTCTTCTGGTTCCAACTCCATTGTGACAGGATGGTGATCCAACACTGCTTGTGGGGAACTGGTACCAGCAACCATTTCTTTATCTATATTAGCGCTAAAACATATATATAATAATTAAGTCACTATCTGTAAACAAAAGCCATTATATACAAAAATAGGAGCAAATTTAATTTGTGATAAATATGGCAATTTCCTGCAATATATCTTGGAAGACCTTACTTTATTAAGGTGAGCTAGGACTGTATGCAACTTCCCTAGTGGGGAGAGGTGACAGATGTAAGCCCTGGGAAGTATATAGGATTTCAAGAGACTATACTGAGTTGTGCCAAATAAATGTGTACTTTTTGGGATAGAAAGTGTTAAGTGGATTTCCTGAGGAATCCCTAGGGAAAGGCTAATGCAAATTCCACAACTCCAGTTATGCATAAAAAAAACCCCAAAACAGTCTTTCAAAGGTGCACCCTGAGGAGTCTGTTGATTACCTGTCACAGAGGACCAAGATCAGAAGATTGAGCTGTATTAAAAAAAGCAACTGATCTGCCCTGTCTCCGTTCTGTATCTAAAATGAAATGATAACCATCGGGAAAACCCAGTTAGGTGGGTTTAAAAGGACTAAAACTTACCAGAGCCCCAAAGCAGAAATTGGGGGTGACCTCTAATAACTTTTTTAGCTCAGGTGTAGGTTCTTTTATTGTTTTAATACGTTTTCCCCTATAATGCTTTTACCTTAAGAATAAATATACTTGCTTAGGAGTTGCGAGGTAATTTATAACTGTGGGCAACACACTGGTCAGAAAACAAAGCACAGGCCTTTTAAGGCAGTGTGGCTTGGTAGGGATATCAAAGTGTAAGGCAGGGAACTGTGCAGCCTTAAAAATCCCTGCTCAGGAGGGAGCGAGATGTGGGTCTCCATCCAAGAGGGGGATGGCTGGGAGCCAGAAACCTGTAAGTAGGTGCCTTTGAGGGACAACTGTGGGAGAACAGAGGTGCGGTTATCCTGCAACTGTGACATAGCTAATCAAGAATAATTTGTTTAAAATGTTGCCCCTCTGCCAGATAAAATACAGGCAAAACCTCACCAGTACACTGACTGGGATTATCTCTCTCATAAAGATAGTCTCTCTCTCACTCTGTCTTCCTCCTTTGGGTATTATATTCTACCATGAAGGAGGCTACATAGATTAGACAGAACCAGCTTGGTGGGCCCTTCTTCTCCCACAGGATGGGTAAAGCAAAAGCTATCAGTGATAAGCAGGCAAGGGAGCAATGCAGAAGAAGAAAGTGAAAGTGACAGAAGCAGGCAACTCTTATGCACTAACAACAGAGTGGGATGGGAGAGAGAGAGAACAGCATTTAGATTTAAGTGGTCCCTGCTGAAACAGTTTCACTGCCAGCTGATACTTCCTCTCCCCAGCGCCACCCTCATCCACTCCTCCTCTGACCTAGAATGCTACTCATTTCTGAAAACAGCCCTGGTAGAAAAACATATAAGCCCATCACTTTAAACCTTTAGTTTTCAAGGGTTATAGCTCCTATTTGATATGAATAAGAATACAAATTGTATTTTCCTATGTTAATATTAACTAAAGTCTCTTTGCTTAATTTATCTTACAAGAAGTTGATCAAAAGCAAATTTTAAGAGAAAAAAATTCCTAATAAATGGAATCTCAAAATATAAATATTATTTTGTCTGATGAACCATGTTCCATCTCGCCCAGCATCCTGTCTTCTGACAGTGACCAGTACCAGATGAAATTTACTGAGTGCTCCATCCTCAGTCATCTAATCCCAGTTTCTGACAGAGGTTTAGAGCATGGGGCTACATCTCTGACCCTCCTAGTTAATAGCCATTGATGGATCTATCCTCCATGAATTTATCTAATTCTTTTATTCAGTTATACTTTTGGCCTTCACAACATCCCCTGGTAATGAGTTCCACAGGTTAACTGTGCACTGTGTGAAGAAGCACTTTATTTCATGTGTTTTTAACTTGTTGCTTATTAATGTCATTGGGTGACCCCAGTTCTTGTGTAATGTGAAGGGGTAAATAACACTTCCCTATTCACTTTCTCCACATCGTTCATGATTTTATAGACTGCTATTATATCCTCCCTTAGTCATCTCTTTTTCTAAGATGAGCAGTTCCAACCTTTTTAATCTCTGGTCCCCAACAACAACAACAACAACAAAAGCTGTTCCATACCCCTAATTATTTTTGTTGCTTTTCGCAGTATTTTTTTGAATTCTAGTATATCTTAGTTTTTTTAGATGGATTTACTAGAACTGCACACTGTACTCACAGATTTATATAGTGGCATGATGATATTTTGGGTCTTCTTATCTATCCCCTTCCTAAAAGTTCCTAACACTCCGTTAGCTTTTTTGACTGCTGCTGCATATTGAGCAGATGTATTCAGAGAACTAGCCACAACTATACCAAGATCTCTTTCTTAAGAGATAACTAATTTAGACCCCAATACTTTGGCTGTACAGTTGGGATTATGTTTTCCAATGTGTATTACTTTGCATTTATCAACATTGAATTTCCTCTGCCATTTCGTTGCCCAATCACCCAGTTTTGTGAGATCCCTTTGTAACTCTTCAGAGTCTGCTTTGGACTAAGCTATCTTGAGTAATTATGGACCATCTGAAACGTTGCCACCTCATTGTTAAGCCCTTTTTCCAGATCATTTATGAATATGTTAAACAGCACTGGTCCCAGTACCGATCCTTGGGAGACCCTGCTATTTACCTCTTTCCACCCCGAAAAGTGACCATTTATTCCTACCCTTTGTTTCCTATTTTTAAGCCAGTTACTAATCCATGAGAGGACCCTCCCTCTTATCCATGACTGCTTAGTTTGCTTAAGAGCCTTTGGTGAGGGACCTTGTCAAAGGATTTCTGAAAATCCAAATATACTATATCCACTAGATCACTCTTGTCCATGTTTGTTGACCCCCTCAAAGAATTCTAATAGTTTGGTGAGGCACGACTTCCCTTTACAAAAGTCATGTTGACTCTTCCCCAACTTATTATGTTCATCCATGTGTCTGATAATTCTGTTCTTTACTATAGCTTCAACCAATTTGCCGGGTACTGAAGTCAGGCTTATTGGCCTGTAATTGTCAGGATCACCACTGGAGCCTTTTTTTAAAAAAAGGTGTCACATTAGCTATCTGCCAGTTATCTGGGACAGAAGCTGATTTAAATGATAGGTTACAGACCACAATTTGTAGTTCTGCAATTTCACATTTGAGTTCCTTCAGAACTCTTGGGTGAATACCACCTTGTCCTGGTGACTTATTACTCTTTAATTTATCAATTTGTTCCAAACCCTTCTCTATTGACACCTCAACCCGGGACAGTTCCTCAGATTTGTCACCTAAAAAGAATGTTTCATGTGTGAGAATCTCCCTCTTATCCTCTGCAGTGAAGACAAATGCAAAGAGTTCATTCAGTTTCTCTGCAATGGCCTTGTCTTCTCTGTGTTCCTTTAGCAGCTCAATTGTCCAGTTGCCCCAGAGACTGTTTGGCAGGCTTCCTGCTTCAGATGTACTTAACAGCAAAAATGGTTTTAGTTTTTGTGTCTTTTGTTAGTTGCTCTTCAAAATTCTCTTTTGGCCTGCCTAAGCACACTTTTACACTTGACTTGCCAGAGTTTATGTTCCTTTCTATTTTCATCACTAGGATTTGACTTCCAATTTCTAAAAGATGCCTTTTTGTCTCTAACCACCTCTTTTACTCTATTGTTTAGCCATGATGGCTTGGGGGGGGGGGTCATCTTGTAGTTTGTTTTTACTGGGGGTACACATTTAATTTGAGCCTCTATTATGGTGTTTTTAAAAACTTTCCATGCAGCTTGCAGCCATTTAACTTGTGACTGTTCGTTATAACTAGCCTCCTCATTTTTATGTAGCTCTGAAGTTAAATGCTACTGTGGTTGATTTCTCTGGTATTTTTCCCCTTAAAAGGATGTTAAACTTAATTACATTATGGTCACTATTATTACCGAGTGGTTCAGGTACAGTAAAAGCTGTTTTATCTGGCATGTTGGGGGAATGGGGGGTGCAGGTAAGTGAAAAATGCCGGTTAACTAAGAAGGAGGGAGTTTGGATGCGGGAGGGGGTTTGGTGCGGAAGAGGGGGTGCGGGATGCCAGATCCGGGGGCTGCTCACCTCAGGCGGCTCCTGCAAGCTGTGACCTGTCCCGGCTGCTCCTAAAAACGGAGGTGCGGCAAGCAGCTCTGCGCGCCGCCTCCACCCACAGGAGCTGCTCTTCCAGTTCCCATTGGCCACGGTTCCCAGCCAATGGGAGCTGCATTGCTAGCACTTGGGGTGCGGTAGTGCAGAGAGCCGTCTGTTGCACGTCCGCCTAGGAGCAGCCAGGACAGGTCGCCGCTTGTGGGGACCCACCCGAGGTGAGTGGCTCCTGGATCCAGCACTATGCATCCCCTCCCACACCCAAACTCCCTCCCAGAGCCCACGCTCCAAACCCCTTCCTGTACCCCAACCCCTTGTGAGCTCTGCACCAACCAGACTATAAACCAGAATTTTAATGAAGCTTAAATCCCGGTTTATAGAGCTTTCCGGTTGGTGAAGTGCCAGATCATACAATAAAAGCTGTTTTATCACTTTCTGGGTCAGATCCATTTAGGATTAAATCAATAATTGCCCATCCCCTTGTGGATTCCAGGACTAGCTGCTCAAAGAAGTCATCATTAATGGTGTCTAGAAATTTTCTCTCTGCATCCCGTCCTGAGGTGACATGCTTCCAGTCAATATGAGGATAGTTGAAATCTCCGCTTATTTTGAGGTTTTAACTGTTCTGTTTTTGAAGACTTTCTAACCTTCATGAGTACTTCTCCATCACAATAACCATCCTGGCCAGGCGGTGGTATGTTCCTCCCGCTATGCTCATTATTCAAGCATGAAATTTCTATCCATAGAGATTCTATAGTATTGTTTGATTCAGTCAAGATTTTTACTATATTTGACTCCACGCTTTCTTTCACATGTAGTGCCACTCCCCCACCAGCACAATCTACTCTGTCGTTCCTATATATTTTGTACCGATATTCCTGCATCCCACGGATTA